CCAAAATTGGCCGAGCTGAAAGCCTGGTCGGAATACTATCTCAGCTTTGACAAAGATCTAAAGCCAGATGAGGCCGCCGAAAGAGTTTTCGAAATCCTTGTCAAAGACCATCCAACCTTGGATGAGGTCAAGGCCAAGGCAGGGTACTTCCAGAGCTTGGAGGGAGGCAGCTCAGAGCCTGGAGAAGCAACCGAAAAGGCCCTTCAACTACTGAGCCCTGAGAGTTCGGCTTAGGAAGTTGATGCCAAAGTGCCACGAGAGGGTTCTAGATGACGCCGAGGTGAAGTCGCACGCATTGGCACCTTTGCATCATGCTGAGCTGGTCGCAAGATATGTTTGCTGGACACTGAATGACACTGACACTGAATGACACTGACACACACACACACCAAGTGTTTCTTCATGTTTTTTCTATAAATATCGAATCTAGCACGCTCGCACAGGTATACACTGTGTATATATACATATATATGTACATGTATATCTCCAAATTTCGAGAGATAACTCATATAGGTTAAACTCTGCACCTATATTGTATAGTGTAAGGATAAGTTTCATGTTTTTCATGAGCTGCACCAGCTCTTGCCCGTCGATTCGTTGAGGCTCCCAGGGCCGCTTGGATCCCTCGCTGGGGCGCCGACCCTCGCTGCCACCCATGCTGCGGAACGGCGTGGGGCGGCCGAGGGGGTCGGGAAGTCCGGAGGGTCGGTTTTTGGGTGATCGTTGGTGCGTCTTCGTTTGATGGTGGTTTTTTATTAATTATTTTCGTGTGTGTTTGTTGGGTGGAATGTGTTCCCTCTTCGCGAATGCTTACGGATGCTTACGGTCTTAGATGTAGAATTCTCGCACATCTACCCGGTCAAACGTGTGGCGACACGGTTCCACCACCGCCGAGGAGGCCATGGTCTCGGCCATTCGGCACTTCGTTCAGGGCGTCGCAGGCGGGCAGGTGGGAGACTGGAGTCCTTGGAAGTCACCCCTTGGATGTGTTGCCAGACCGGTGGAAGTGCTGACCCTAGAAGTCCGCCGCTTCTTTTGGACCGACCGTCAAGGAAGTTCGAACAGGGCCGCTTTTTCGTGCGGGTTCATGCTGCATGTGCGTTGCTGGGGTTCCAATTGGTGATCTTGGCATCCTTTGTGCTTGGTCCTCTATAAAATTACTATCATTTGACTCTATAAATTGATTTTGGACCATCATTTATAGAGAGTGACCCGTTTTGTGGTCTTTCCTTTTGTAGAAAGGGTGTTTGTTGGTTTTAGTTGTGTTCTTTTTGTTGCATGTCTTGTGAACCTGGCAAGTGGGCATTTTATAGAGAAGTGGGGGCTGACAAACGCGCTTAGCTTGAGATCTGTTTTTGCATGTTACAGAGAATTTGGGGGTTGACATGTGTGACGGCGTTCGCACCTGGCAATCGCATGTTGTAGAAAGAACGTTTGTGCAACATTTCTATACACATCCCTATCCACAACCATCTCGATGCATATTCAAGTCTGCCAAAGAAAACAATACTGGTGGATCCCAAGGCAT